GTTGGTTTCTCAGTCCGCTTGGTGCTGGTTCGTTGTGAGAGAAAAACATTGTTGGCTGACTGATAAGCTCTGACTGAAACCAACAAGCGAACAGACTGATTGCAGACCACATGATGTAACTGTGACTGTTATCTTACAGACTGCGTACATGAAGAGATATCATAACAAATGTTTTTTATCAGGTCAATAGAGAGAGAGAGAGAGACGTATATATATAATAGGAGCTGATCATACTCCACTGTGCATTACCACCTGTGACGAGCAGCATCACATATTTGAGGCACAGAGGCAGTGACCATAGTGAGAGAGATATTGGAGCACATCAGGCAAGAATGCCCTAGAACACAGTGCTCAAATGCCATCATCGCCCTAAAAAAAGACAAATGACAGCACCCACACTTCACAGATCACGAGAAAAAAGATTCGTGTTTTGATCGCTGTGGGTGAACTGGTGATGGATCTACTGTTTGTCCTCACATCTTGGCCGGCAACCGTTGGTAGTAGACAGCCATAGTGTGGTGGTGGACAAAAATCCTGACGTGCACTTATTTACTGCTCCATAAATGTTCGTGGAGTTACTAATTGTATATACATCCTCTCTAGTTAGCCATTTCAAATTATAAGTCGCTTTGACTTTTTCTATTCATCTATTTTACTATGTATCTAGATAAATTATTATATTTAGATGCATAGCAAAATAGATGTAAAAAAAATCAAAACGACCTCCTCTCTCCGTAAAAAAAAACGTAATTCTAGCTTTCAACCTAGAGTCCAGGTTCAAAGCTAGAATTACGTTTTTTTTGGAACGGTACAAGTTTAAAGCTAGAATTGTGTTTTTTTTACGGAGGGAGTATAATTTGGAACGGAGGAAGTAGTACATAGTAGGTCAAAAAATCATAATCCCTCCATTTCAAATTAGTTGTCATTCTGGCTCGGTCCTTAGTCAAATTTATTTTTGCCCATCAAGTTGTATATATTCATACTGTTGGACAACATGTGATTTATACATTTTGAAAGTATTTTTCATGGCAAATCTAAAAGCATAAGTCTTATGATGTTAAGCTATACGAATGTCTAGACATTGATGGAGAAAGATGGAAATAAACTGCTGGACAACATGTGATTTATACATTTTGAAAGTATTTTTCATGGTGAATCTAAAAACATAAACCTTGTGATATTAAGCTAAATGAATGTCTAGACATTGATGGAGAAAGATGGAAATAATTGACTTTGGATGAGCTAGAGTGACTACTAATATGAATCAGATGGAGTATTTCCCTCGTCTAAAGGTAGAAGGTAAATGGCCAAGTCGAGCAAATCAAGTGAGGTCCAAATTCTTCTTGAGCTACCAATTTTAGCTCGGCATGGAGCAGAGGCGTAGCTGTGCCAAGGGGGCCATAGGCTAGTCTCGGCGGAGGTTTCATAAGGAAAAGAGAGGAGATGAGTTTCATCTAGATGAAACTAGGTGTACACTATTTCTAGAGAGGGCTTTAGGCCAATCTCAGCGGAGGTTTCATTCTCACAAAATGGGGGCGCCACACATGCAAATTTGATGACATGACACTAAGTTAGGAAAAGAGAGAGGTGATGAATTTCATCTAGACGAAACTAGGTGTACACTCTTTCTAAAACTTGAAAATTGTTCCACACTAGCATTGAGAGGAAAAAGTTTTATTTCATCTAAAAGTCTTCCAATCACAAATTACATATTAAATGCTTTGAGTAGCCTTTGAAACACCAAAATTGAAACTATATACACCGAGAGAGATTGTTGCATTCATTATCACAATGACTTTAGATGACATGACACTCTAGGAAACATCAAAATAAAAATTCCGATTGAGATTGGCCTTACTTCCCCATACCAATGGCATCCTTTAATTAGGGAAAGTTTGGTTGCTAGCCACACTTCACTTTAGACAAATTTTATCAAGTTGGCAAGTGTTTGTTTGACAACCAAAGTTGGATAAGATTTTTTTTTAAATCCACTTATCCACATATCATAGTGTAAACAAATATGACAAGATTCCTTTATAGTCTATGACATGTAGAGTGAAAAAATATGACAAAATTGTAAAGTGTGATTTCAAATTTTATAGCCATATTTTTCTAGCTTGTCACACTTGCCTAAGGCTAAGTGTGACAAATTATAGCTAGAAAACCAAACAACCTCTCGGTCCGAAAGTGTGACATTAGATTTGCTACTTTCCATGTGAGGGATCCAGTGCCCTGTTCGCTCGGCTTATAAACCGTACTTTTTCAACCAACGAACAGTATTTTTCTCTCACAATAAATCAGCTAACAGTACTTTCAGCCATAACTTATCAGCCAAACGAACAAATAGCCGGATAGGTAGTTGGGACTTGCAAAGGAGTAACTAGGGTGAGTAATGAGACGATCATAAATGAGATGGCAGGGAAAAGCATCAAAGGCGACAGCAGGTAGAGAATATGGGGCATGGTCACTTTGGTCAGGCAGGCAGGGCCAGCATTTACACTACACGCATACCACTAGATCAGATGGAGCCATACACGGAGGAGCCAAGGAGCATGCACGGCACCGGCCGGCCGGCTGCCCGTGCCCTTGCCCTGCCGACTGCCGTGGCCACTGGCCTGGCCTCTATAGCGTCAGACAAAGATTCCCTCATTCACTTCTCCAACCCCCGCTCAGCTCAGCCCGATGCTACTGCTCCTGGCTGTAGCCTCCCTCTAGCCGCTGCCTTCCTGCCCTCGTTAACTGTCACCTCCTCACCGCGCCTACAGTATTGCTGGGCAATAGTGCTGCTAGCCTTCTTTCCCACGCCTCCAGTCCAGTACCCACGCCGATTCAATGCTTCGGCAGAGACAAGAGCCACTCTGCCACATGGATGGGGCGTTGCTGCTTGCCAGTCTGGTCCGGCTGGTCTGGTCTGCTCACCTTGCTGTGACTTGATTTGCTGCCCCATTTCACCCTATCTCCAACAAGTGTCAAGAAAGTTAGCACGACACTTCTTCAAGTTCTAGCATGTTTTTCACTAACCAAAGATCTATGGAAAAACAAAGCAAAGCTATAAGGGGGCACCCGCAATGGTTGTATCATAAGCTAGCTCTTATCATTTTTTTATATTTTAATAGACGAGAGAGAAAAGCTAGCTCTTGATTAAGAGCTAGGCTCATACACACAATCCAAGACCGTGTGAGAGTGTCATGTGGGCCTAATCATACCATGAGCTATTGCTAAGAGCTAGCACTATTAGAGAGGTTAGCTTAGAGCTAGTAACTGACTCATACCACTGCGGGTGCCTAAGCCATCTTCATGGGTTGGTTTGAGCTAACTATATAGTTTTCCTGGAACTGTCTTACTACCGCACTTTGATGATTTAGGCCCAGTTTAGATGCCGAAAAATTTGGCAAAATGACACTGTAGCATTTTCGTTGTCATTTGGTAATTAGTATCCAATCATAGTCTAATTAGGCTTAAAAGATTCGTCTCGTGGATTTCGTCTAAATTGTGTAATTAGTTTTATTTTTTATTTATATTTAATGCTTCATGTATGGGTCCAAAGATTCGATGTGACGGATAATCTTGAAAAATTTGGCATTTTAGGGTGCAACTAAACAGGGCCTTAATTTGAACATACTGCTACTTCAGGTCTGTGCTCTGGAATGTTTGACGTGCAAACACAGGCCATTCAAGGCCACCCAGGAAGGACCATGGAGTGTGGAGAAAGCAAGGGTGAAGGAAGGTCGTTGTGGGTACGGCAGTAAGATCCTGGGCATTGGTTACTCAGAAGATCGGTACAAATGGAATTTTGTTGGTGTGTATAATTGCCCATAAAGGCTGAGATGGGCACACCCAGGGACCGAAGAAAGAACGGTCCAGGAACGCTTAGTATAAGGGCATGTTTGGTTTGAGCTAAACTTGAGGAGGTACTAAATGGCTTAGTCACTTTTAGTAACTCCAGAGTTATTAGAGAGGACTAAAGCCCTTTTAGTTACATTTAGTCATAGTGTTTGACAAAAAAGTTACTAAAGGGACTAAAAGCTACTAAATTTAGGAGCTACTAGGTGAACCAAACAGGCCCTAAGATAACAGAATTGGCATGGCTTAGCTTGCCAGATGTGAGCCTAAAGGCAAAAGAAGTTGCATCGGGCATATGGACAAGAGTGCATAGAATCCTCGTCCTTGTTCGTTTATGATCAAGGTTTCGAAACAAACCTGAGCTCAATTATCAGCAGCTGATAGGTTAGTGGAATAAGAATTCATAGCATATTAAGCTCGATTTTTAACTGGCCCTGTTTCCAGGCGACAACTGAAAAGTGCCAAAGTCAGCTACACCAATCTATGAAACATGGACAATACCTAAACAGTATCAATCAAAAAAAGAATGCCGAACACAAAAAACATGCATGCAATTTGATAATAGAGTTTCCCAATCCATCACAACAAATTATATGGAAAGAAGATAAGTACAACTCCTGGTTCTTTGCATATCTATGTGTAAGTATAAAAGGAACCGCTCACCTAATGGCCTGTTTGGGATGGTGCAATCCTGACCCATTGCGTTGGTGGGCCAGAAATTTAGTTCACTCCTAGCCCAGTCCAGTCGACGTGCCACATGGACTGGGCCAGGATCAATGGGCTCTCCCAAACACGGATTCAATGAGCCAAAAGGATAGGAGAGCAATTCTAATCTAATAACATGTGCCTCACCTCTAATAATTGTAGAGCAGCAACCTAGGGAAAGGTTTCTTCATCCCATTCTCATGTCTTGACTGTAACCTGGTTTGCTCATTTGCTTCCAGTTCCAGGGTAAACTATTTCCTGCAACCAATTGGCTCAGTCACTTCAGGGTTCAGGACAATGAAATATCATAAATGATACAAAAACAACGAAGTTGACCTGTGCCTATCTCCAATTCGGATCAATTCGATGAATGGTACATTGAAAACTGGCCTCCCAGCAGACCAAGATGTCATGAACCTCAATGACTCCAAGAGGGCCACACCCTCCAGTTGCTAAACTAAATCATGCTGCTTTTGTCTTCGGAAGCTTTTAAGTAGTTTGATAAGCTCATATGTCCGCACATCATGACCCAATCGGAGGCACAACTCCAACGGGGTCAATCCATCCTGAAAGGAGTTCACCAACAAATTATTCATCGTTTAGCAACAGAACACTTGTTCTCAGAAGAATACAGGACATAAGACTGCCATAATTGCATCCAAAAATGCTATGGAAAAACACAATGAGAATTGAGAAGAATTAATGACAACATGATATCATGTGATTATTAAAGGAATATTTCAAAGCAAACCATTCAGTCAATCCATAGATGTGTTCTTATCGAATAATCCACAAATGCGTTCTTACTGAATCATTTGAGAACTTTTAGAATATTCACTTTACTTACTTGGGTTTTAAGAGTTCTATCAGCGCCCTTTATTAAAAGTAGCTTCACAATGTCAGTCCTCTGTGTTTGTACAGCAAGATGCAAAGGTGTCCATCCATACTGCAACGTGATCGAGCTATGTGTTAAGTCCAACCAACAGAAGAGAAAATAAAGCAAGGAAATTCCAGCACTTAAACATACATCATCTGGATGGTTGATGTCAACATTGTACAGTAAAAGTGTCTTTATGGTCTGACTACATGCTGTTTGGACAGCATAATGCATTAGAGTCGTGCCATCCTGTATCGCCACAAGTCACAAGAAAAATAAATCTCACATATAATACTGCATCAAACTAGAGAATTCAGGAGCATGACACTTCATCACAGTCAAGATGATTAAATGAGGCAAATGCATTAGACTATGTACAAACTGTTTACAAGGCACCAAGGAACCTAAAATAACGAAGACAGGCCCAGATAACATTGCTTGCGTTAGGCTCTGTACAAACTGTTTACAAGCATGCTAAACAAGGTTTGTACTCACTTTATCTTGGATGAATGGATTTGCTGAGTTCCTTAAAAGATAGTTGATAATAGCAGCCTTCTTTGAAAGAATTGCTTTGTGAATCGCTGGCAAGCCATCCTAAGGAAACCAGCAAAAGGTCCAATAAAAAATAATGATATAAAAAAGAAAGATGCCATATAGCTATTTTACAGTCAGGCAGTGGCAATCACCTTATCAAGCGCATTTATGTCCACATTATGTTTTAAAAGACTATCCAATAGATAGAAATCTCCAGATGCAGCAAGGATGTGAAGCGGAAGCCATTTACTCTGCAAGGAATAGATACTCCGCATTACACCGGAAACTAAACTTGAAATAACAAAGATCATCATAGACAAGTGAACAAGCAGAATTTCCACACATCTTAGAAGGTTTGAGTAGAAAAAATCTCTATGGTTCTCGCGCTTCAGAAAGTAGCTGCTACAGGACGTTATTAATGACTCAACGACTGAATTGCTCTGAACACAGATTGCTTACAGAAGTAGCAGCTTCCAGATCAGGCACTCGCTTGTTCAGAAGAACCTTCTCCTCATTTGAGAACAACTTCTGACGGCCTGAAGTATAAAAGAAATGTCATTATGCATAACAAAAAATAAAAAAGAAGCAAAAGAATGACGCAAGATGAAGAACAAAGTCACTATTTACTACTTCATCCAACTGGCCAAACAGCAGTCAATGCATTCTTTCATAAAAGCAACATTGTCTAACAATCAGTCATCTTTAAGTAGCAAGAGAATCTAACATGACTACCGAGTTTACCAAGGCAATAAAATGTGTACCCCGTTATTGATAACATCTGTCTGGGCATCGCTTGCTGTAATTTGGTCAAAGCCAGTTGGGGTGATATAATAAAACGTGGCAATAGGAGTAAAAGCACACATTCTACATTGCATCACTGCCGATGGCGCCCATAACATCGTCATTGCGTTTGACATAAGCTCATGTACTGTCAATCATGATCCTATCAATTGCAGTGCATTGGTAAATATAATGAGTTTTGACTTTCGATATTCGAATTATATAGGTTTAAACTACTCCAGTTTTTCTTTTCTTTTTTTTGTTGTAAAATCTAAACACAGAAATGCTGTAATGGCTCCCTTGGCTCGCACAGTCTCACTGTTCATTTGGGGTAAATCTCCAAAAACACCATGGACACAAACAAAACTCCATTTCCAGACCATATGAGTAATCAACTACAGTCACTATTCTAACAAAAATGTAGTCAATAAAGCAATTCTCCTATATGTAAAAAACAAGTCCAGAAGTCAGAACTCACCCTTGGGGCTCTTGCTGTCCTCCATCTCATCCTGAACATACTCCCGACTTCTAAAAAACTCATCAATGTCCTCAAGGCTGCCAACATCCATCCCCATCCTCGGATTCCTCGGGGCCACACGCGTCCCAGGCTCTGGCGGTGGAGGTTCCTCCACCTCCGGCAGAAAAGCCCTCTCCAGTGGCCCGCGGTATACATAAGCAATATGGTCACGCTCCGCGCTCAGCATCCCCTTGCGGTACGCGCGGAATTCATCAGGGGCGGCAACGGCCGGGGGCGCCCGCCGCTCGAGGCGGCTCCCGAATCGTAGCCCGTGAGCGATGCGGCGCTTCTCCTTCTTCGTCAGGTTGATCTCCTCCTCGGCATCCCTCCACCTCTCCGGCACCAGGCTCTCGCCCTCGCCGGCCTCCGCCCTCCGGCCGTTAGCCCGCGGCAGCGGAGACGAGGGGAGGTCCAGGTCCGGTTCCTCGAAAGCGTCGTCGTCGAACACGAGGCAATCCCCGACGACAACATCCTCGTCATCGCCAACGGCGGCGACAGCGAAGGCGGAGGAGATGACTGGCCTCGAGGGTAGGGATAGGACTATAGGTTTTGGGAGTTGATGGTTGAGGCTACGGGACGAGGTGGCGAATGGGTTTAGAATTTGGGTCGGGGAAGCGGAGGGGATGGGGAGGAGGCGGTGATGGTGGTGGAAGATGGAGGGCGGCGTCATGGCGTCGTCCCGCACCGGCGCGCCGTGCTCTGAGGCCGTGTGCGGCCGTGTGCTGCGTTGAGACTTGAGAGGAGGATTGGCCGGTGTAGCCGACCGTTCATGCCTGGGCCGTTTGTTGGGACCACGCAGTACGCACGCGTGTCTTTCTACATGGGCCAAGATTTAGCAGATTGGGGCCCAAAAAGGAGGTCTGGGCTAAGAGCGCGCGAGTCCTCTCTAGAAAAGATCGAGGCGCTAAGGCGAATCCTTCTCTGGCGGCGATTTCGCCGGCTCCCATCTGCATCCGGGGGCAGTTTCTTAGGTTTGGATATGCTAGGGTTAGGTTTAGGTTGTCCAACGCCGGTGATGTGGTGCTGGATGTTCTACCTCTACTGCTTCGTCTCCGGTGGGCGACGGCGTGGATGTCGCGACATCCCCGGCGGTTTCCCTACCTGCGCGGGCGGCGACGGTATGAGGACTTTCTATCCCTTATGTGAGTTAGAATTGGGTGTATTCCTAGTGACGAATCCATCGGGAATCTTTTGCTCCCTCCATGGATCTTCTGGTGACGTCTGTGTTGGTGGTGGATGGTGTTTGGAGATGGTTGATGGGCATGTGGTGCTCGATGACGGTGCTTCATGCGGGGGGTTCAGCATCTACGATGTGTTTTTCGGTTTTTTCTTATGCGTCGGTTCTGGAATCTTCTGTGAGCTTCTCTTCGCCGGTTGTGCCCACAATGTCAATCGCGTCGCCGGACTTGAAATCACTGACATGGCTGCTACTGGAAGCTGGATGCTTGTTCTACCCATTCCGGGTTTGCTGTTTGTCGACTGGGGTTGGCCGGCGAGGCAATCGGTGTATGATCCCGGTGGAAATGAGGATAAACAACACGTCTTTGGCGTGCTATTGATGACCTTGTTAAAATTCGAAGACTCTTCGTCGATTCAGGTATTGGCCGTGAGCTTCGTCCTGGATGATCTTTACTGTAGGAAGTGGAGAAAATCCAGGCTGCGGCAACGATGGTCGGCGACGGCGATGGGCGCTGGATGCTCCTGCAAAGGATCTGCGTGTATTTTTCTTTTATTCAGGGGTGCCCAGTCAAGGAGTTGTCTGTAACAGTATTGTTTTAATAAAATCCAACTCTTTACTCAAAAAAATCGAGGCATCTTTTATCTTTTTTTTTTTTGCCAAAAAAGAAAAAACAGAAACAACATACAGAACTTAGAGGGAGTATGCTATAGCAATGTGAGGCCGGAACCCGTCAGCCCACAGGTTCCTTGCGCCGACCCTCCCCCCTCCCTCCCACGTGTCGTACGTACGATGGATGGAGCGACACTTTCCGCTGTTTCGGCCTAGGTATGTTAGTCGGCCCAGGTACGTCAGTCAGTTTTTCTCTTTTTTCTTTCCTTTCTACTATTTCTTTTTCCTTTTCGTTTTCTCTTTTTTTTGTTTTGTTCTATTATTCTTGTCATATTTTATTATTTTTTATTTTTCTTCCTTTTCATCTTTTATTCTTTTTTATTTATCTTTCTTTTCTTCAATTTCTTTTTCCTTTCCTTTCTTTCTTCATTTTTTTTGATGTTCTAGGATATTTTTTGTGATATTCGGTAGCATTTTTTGTTCTTTTTATTTGACTCTAATTAATTAGTTTTCTAATTTTATTATTTTATTTAAAATTTAATGATATTTTAGTGATGTTCATATAGTATACATATGATATATTTAGTTATGTTCGTGTAGTCTTAAAGCGATGTTCTACGATATATTTGTGATGTTCGGTAGCATTTTTTCTTATTTTTATTTGACTATAATTAATTACTTCACTAATTTTATATTTGTTTTTTTAGTTTTTATATTTCATGATATATATGATGTTCGCGTAGTATACATATGATGTTTTATGCTATTTTCTGCGATGTTTGTGTAGTGTTAATGTGATGTTCGATGATTATATTTAAATATAGGTTTATCATGAGATAAATGTTCGTTAAAAAATTTATCGAAATATATCCATGTGTGGTCTTGTTTTGAAGAGTTTATTGTAAGGAATACGACAGTGCAATCGGATTTTAATTATGATACTTGGTTTAGGAGATATGACTTTTTTACTTCAAAAGGTATTGGATATAACCTGATGTCAGCAATTTTGGCTTTTACTGCATGGTTGTTGCCTGGTCTACTGTTTGGCACCAGAATACAATTTTGGTGAAGAAAGTGAGTGAGGAAATTATTTTTTTTAGGGGAGGAGGGGGGTCGGTAACTAGGCGCCCCATGTGAGTCTGTGACTCAGTAATTGGTACTATTCGCATCCCAAATTATAAGTCATTCTAACTTTTTAAAAGACAAAGCATCTCAAGTTTAACTTAATAATATTTTCATAGTATTAAAGGTTGATGTCATAAATCTATGTAATTATATCTCTATAGTTTTGATCAAACTTAAGATGTTTTGATTCTTCGATAAAGTTAGAATGACTTTTTTGAACGGAAGGAGTATATCATATATTGTTAATTTACCTTTTGAAGATAGTCTATTTTATATTTGGACCAATGCAGTGTTTGAATTACTATAAGGCTCCTAACATATATAGGAATGTTGTTTTTACACAAATCCAGAAAAAAAAAATCGCGATCAATATTATTATCCGCACCTGATTCATCCCGTATTCAATGCATATGTTACTCGTATCCGTGACCAAGACCATTCGTTTTCATATTTGTATACAATCCAAACAAAATGTAAAAACGAGTATAATATATCAACAATATCCGTCCATATTGACCCGTTTGCATCTTTTGTTAGTATCCTAGCTTATACTTATTCAGATTTCTCTTTCATTTCTGTGCCCTTTTTAATAGCCCGTGCAAGTCCCTGGACAACCTTTGCATTTTATCTATCTTGCATCTTTTTGGGTTGCATGACACACATGAATTCAACTAGAGTTTCACCAGGCCAGAATTAAAGTTTAACATGGACATTGTAATTTGGAGGCATCATGAGGTATATCAAAATCAAATCATATTTTTTTCTCGAATACGCAAGAGCATTGCGTATCATTGTGAAGTTCAAAGTTTTAAAATACAAGAGAGGCCGTTCCAGCCCGGCGGTTACCTCAAAGGGACTACTTTTTGACTATGACAACCTTGGGATGCATTGTGATCAACCTAGACTACGATTTAGCTGAGGTACCAGACCGTCTTTCCTCCACGATCCATCGCCCTAGATCTTTGGGAACAAGCTCATCGAGAGCCTCGACGTTTGCTACTGATTGGGTGCCCTTGAAGTACGAATCGTACGAACGCTAGGCTGCAGAGAAAATCAGTGTTGAATGTGCCAGATCCCTATGTTCTTCATGAGCAGTACTTCGACGCGTTTGGACGCCGGGATGTGGTCTATCTGCTGAGCAGCAATCCTTCTGCTCCTAATGGCAGAGTGGCCCGCTTTGGTGCCAACTTCTGCTTGGGTGAGAAGTTGATGAGAGGTGACTGCCTCATTACCTGGACCTCCTCAATGAACATGGCCAGTCGCTTGGCGGCCTCCCTCGGTGTGGGCATGCCTGAACGCCGCCTGTTGCCGTGCCGTCGGCCGCCTTAGCTTGCGGTCCGGCATCGATGCACTGGGCTGAATGCATAGGCGTGGTGTGTGCCTTCGATGGTGTGAGGACGGTGAGACCTCCGTCCCCTCCTGGTCGCAAAATCAAATCAAATCACTTGACCATAACACTCCCTCAACTCCAAAATGTAAGTCATTATAATTTTACCAAAGTTTAACATTTCTAATTTTGACCAAATTTATAAAACATTGCACCACCATCTTCAATATATTAAATTGGTGTAACTAAATTCGCTTCAAAATATGCCTTGATAGTATATAGATGTTAATATATTTGTCTATAAAATTGGTCCAACTTCAAGAATAGGACAGAACTAAAAGAACTTGCATTTTGCATTGGAATGGAGGGATCAGTAAGAAGATATATATCGGTTTTGATACTTTTGTTGTTACTTTTGATCAATTATTTTACTGTACCTTGTGGCGCATTATTACAAACTTCCATATAGTTTCTAAATTAGACATTAAAGCGATCAGGTACTCATATATAGATCAGAGGGAATAGTAGTTATTAAGAGAAAGCTTATGGTAATTTAATTTGAGCCATCGAAACTAGCTTGAAAGGCAAAACGAACTAATATATGTGTGTTCAGAGTTTGAAAATGGAATAATTCATTTCGTTCAGACTTGGCTCTGATCAATCGTACATATTCTCATGCATAAATATACTTTTTCATGGCTTTTAACATTTAGATAGACCATAAAATAACGAATCGTTCCGTAAGCAGCAGTGAGTGTACTAAAATGCATACATATACTATTACCAGTACTGGCTCCTGCTCCTGTTCAGAAGCGTTGCATGCATGCCACTGATCAGCTAACAGGGAAACAAGATCGCCTTTCAATTCTCCTTGTTCTTTACCCATTATTATGGTGGTACGTACTTTGCGGGGCTTGCATCTCCCGCATACAATTGTTAGGCCACGATCAAAACCCACAAGCAAAAGGAATAAAACAATCATACACTACTGTTCCCTCCATATGAGAGCATATGGTAGCTCAAGCCTCAAGGACAAGTAAGAACTGTATGAACCGTTTCCTGGCATGCAGGAAGAGAACAAAAATCACAGCTAAACTCGCAGAAGAAACAGCCTGCCTCTTGGAATTTAACCCATGCATATGCCGCGTGGTACACCACAATATATCAGTCCGCATACACACCATGAATCCATGATCCAATGATACAAACCGCAAGAAATGATCAACTTATTACAATACCTGAGCAACAAATTGTTAATTTGCTGCTGGGATATTCTTCAGATACCTCATACTACTACACACACTAGCTCTATATCCTAATTCATGGAGCAAAGCCATGGAATAATATCAATGAAGAAAAGCATCAAGCAACAACAATAACAATCATGCAACTTACTAGCTTATATTTGCTGGATTGGTTTGGAGCTGCTTGCTAGCTCTAGAGGCACCTCCCTCCATAGCCAGCACTCCTAAACAATGCCTGCTTTATCTCGTCGGTGCTCAGAACTTGCCTCTTCCCGTCCTCCTACCACAAATTGGTAACAAATCCTTGTAATCCATATATACATGCAGAGATTACTAATAAGGACATCGAACAACTGCCTCTTCCCCACAAGCTGTGGATGTTTAATTACTACTATATATAGCTGTTTTATTTCATGTTCTTCATGTTCTAATAACTGAACATTATCCATGGATTCCAACAATCTATATATCTAAGAAATTAAAATAGTGGGTGTATGTGTATTCCCCCACATTAGGCCATATATATTACCATCTCCCGGAAAATTTAAGATGGCATTGAACAATTTTCAGAGTCAAAGAATCGATCCCTTAATCACGTACTCACTTGCGAGCAAGAGGCCTGCATTCCAAAGTCGCTGAAGCAGCTCACGACGCACTGCTCGATCTCCAGGCCAAGCACCTCCAGCGTGCTTACCGTGGACAGCAGCACCCCGGGGTTTGTCGGGCAGCAGATCTCGATCCTCGTGCTCCCGTTGCCCCGCTTCTCGACGTCGAACTGCATGTGCCCACCCACACGCACATGGGTCAAAATCACTAGCTGCTAGTTCATCGATCATGCGTGCTGTGCCCTACACTTAAGCTAGTAGCTAGCCAGAGAGTAGTGTATGCATGTGAATGCGCGAGCTAGCGAGGAGGAGCGCGCGTACCTTGGTGGAGTTCCTCACCATCATCTCGCTGCTGTTGCTGGACGAATCTTTCAAGGTGTTGAGAAGGTCCAGGTCCTCCGGCGAGGCGCCGATCTCCTCTTCGAGGACTTTGATCCGCTCCGTCAGCTCCTTCACATAGTCAATGGTGTCCCCAAGAATGGATGTCCTGTCCATCTGATGATCGAGCCACCCATGCATGGCCGATCGGTTTTAGCAAAGCTCAGTCGATCACATATAGTAGGGGCACGCATATGCATATATAACCATACCTTGCTGATCTTGGGAACAATGGAGCGGAGCATGGAGAGGCGGTCGTTGAGGCGCTTCCTCCGCCGCCTCTCGGCCATGAGATTCTTGGACGGAGCGCCGTGGAGCTTGGTCCTGTGGTGGGGGTGTGGGCCGCCGACACCCCTGACGATGGGCATCTCGGAGCTCTCGCCGGCGCCTCCGCCGAACACGAACGTCGGGGACCCGCCACCGCCACCTCCATAGTGCTGCCCCTGAAGGTCAAGGTCACCGCTCGTCTCCTCCTCCACCATGGCGTCGTGGAGAGCAGCGAGCGCCTGTCCGGGTCCGGGCACCGCTGCGGCCTCGGCCCGCGGCACGGCAACGCCGACGCCGCCGCCGCTCCTGTACGGGTTGCACACCTCTCTCAGGCAGTCGAAGTTGAAGTCCTCGTGCGGGTGCGGGGCCGCCGCGGGCGGCATGGGCGCCTGCAGAGGCTCCTGGTGGAACGGCGAGAGGTACATGCTGGTGGAGTCGGCGGCGGCGCCCTCCGTCGTCCCGCCGAAGAAGAGGAGGTCGCTCATCATCATGGCGCCGCCGCCGCCCGGGTAGGCGCTACAGGCAGCAGCTTGTTGCCACGGCGCGGACGCCGCCGCCTCCCGCCTCAGCGACATGAGCTCGTCCAAGAACGTCTCCTCGTCAAGCTCCATGCCGACCGGCCCAACTCTCTCTAGCTTATCTCCCAGATCAGATGGGTGCCGCCACTTAAGAGTCAAGACAACTAGCTATAAACTCCTCCCGCTCTTCTAATATAAATGCTCACAAACCCTCGCGCTTATAAGAAACCCAAGGCGCGCGGCCGTCGTCGTCGGCTGGTAGCTCACAGTCACAGCAGCAGCACGGAGCAGCAGCAGCACGAGAGCACAGCAGTGGGGAGAAGCAACTTGATGAGAATGAATTATCCTGGCGTGGTGGGCCGGGGCGAGCGTGTCCTGCGCAACCTGATCGAGCGACAATTATTCCTTGGTAATGACCGTCGTTCGTTGGGTGACGATGTGGGTCGTCGGTCTGCTGTTGTGTTGGGCATGGCCTGGGCGTGGGCCTGGCCGGCTGGGCGGGTGATTTGAGCGATCCCGTTAAGCAATCTCTTGCTCTCCTCGTGTGAACATACGATAGGGACATGTGGCGCAGAAAAGGTCTTCCTGTTGTTGCACCGTAGCAGTTACAGGGGTAGGCGTCGAATAGCTCTCCTACCGCGCTATAGCCATAGCAGAAGTAGATGCCAAAGTCAGTCCTGCTGTCACATCTAGTCACTGTAGCAGTATGGCAGCCCTGACATGTCTCTGTACTAGGATTAGACGGATAAAGTTGTATATATAGTTTGCCACTGTAACTCAGTAAAGAAAGCGAGTTCAGTTTTGCCATCTCCTCTGCAGAGCTCCGGTCAACACTGGTGCTTGTGCTGTGTGTGTGCTCTGCTCTCCCTTCCTTCTTATATCTCTAGTCATAGTGTGTGGTCGAACAACGATAGTGCGTGGTCGGCAGTGGTGGTGTGTGGTCGACTCACCCGTTGCGAAGATCCAGGGGCTGACAAGTGGTATTGTGGGGGGTACGACCCCGGATACCCACAGCAGACCACATGGGCTACGCCGCCAGGGCCGGTCTAGCCCACAAGACGAAGCCTTACGGGGCACGACTCTGCTCGGCGCCTCCCGCAAGACATCTGGAAGATATCCTGAAGATACTACAAGATCTGTTAGGATATGTATGATTCCAAGATTCCTATAATCAGTTATTACTTTTCGGTTATCTCTTAGATCTAACCGACTTGTAACCCTGCTCCCCGGACTATATAAGGCGGGCAGGGACCCCTTCCAAACTCACGTAATATCATACGATAGCTAATACAAACCAACAGACCACAAGAGTAGGGTATTACGTCATACTGACGGCCTGAACCCGTCTAACTCGTGTGTCTCTGTTGCCTTCTTGTTCTTGATCCCATGCTCCTCTACCGATCAATCTACCTTCGTAGGATACCCATCGGAGGACTGCCGACGATATTCTGTTGACAGTTAGCGCACCAGGTAGGGGCTTGCGTGCTGTTTCCTTGTCGAACAAGATGGCTTTTTCCGCAGGCTCTTCGGCCCTTCCGTAGCCCAGCCAGATCTTCAAGGTCAGATCGATCTCGTGGATCATCAACGCCGACGGAGTCGGAGAGCTCGTTGAGCCGGCACAGATCGATTCTGCGCCGATCACCCCCGCACCTGCGATAGCATATCCGATCTCGGAACCGCCTCCGAGGTCGCCTTCATCGACGACTCGCCGCTCACTTCCTCGCAACCAGAGGAGGCAGATTAACAATGACGATCTGATCGCATCTATCGATCGGGTTGGTCTGAAGCTCATCGATTGCCTCTCCATCGCCGAATCGGCTCTGGACACTCTGGTCCAACACTGACCACCCACCGATCTAGATCTGTCGGAGGCTGCTCGGAAGACTCTAGGAGTTGCGGCTCTGCCCTTCGGGCTCGCCAACGCCATCGCCACCTTCCAAGATGCCCTAAGGGGCAAATTTGCCGACCAGGTGGGAGACATCCATCCTCTCACCGACCAGATCACCGACCAGCCTCCGTCGACCGTCAACCTGCTCCACGTCAGCCGACGTCTGGAGCGTCCCTCTAGACCATTCCGGAGGAGAATCCAGACTCCGAGTCCCAAGGCTCTACGGAGACCCTCGTCGAAACCTTCACCGAGCAACTTCCTCTCCCTCCTTTCTAGGGTGGCGCGATCTTCAATGTCAGCGTCGACAGCCCCCCTCGGAACGGCAAGACCAAGGAGGAACGCGCCGCTCGTGAGAACCAGAACGTCAACCGCGCACAATGCCGAGCAAACGAGAATATCCTAGCAAGGGACGAGCAGCAGCTTGACTCGCAAGGAGTACCACTCCAACACAACCTCGACGAAGAGTTTCTCCGCGTTGACGGCCACGACGTGTTCAAGACTCCAAGCGCCAATCTGGCAGTGGCCGCCAACGAGCTCGCCCGCCTCCCACAGACGCCCGAGCTCGCCAAGGTCGTCGCCATGCTTAAAGCGGCGCACTGCCAGGTCAATGGGATCCGCCATGATCAAAGACCTTCACACTCCACCACTTTGATTCGCCGATCAGTTGCCACAAGAACCGATCGCCGCCAAAGTCGCTTCACTGACCAGCACCGCGATGATAGTCAACCCCTCCAGGGCGAAGCTAGGGGCAACCGCGACGAACATCACCACCAACACGACCAGGAAGTCCGGGTGCACCTCAACAATCTCCTAGGCTACGCGGAAGGTACCAAGGCGTATCGGTTCTACGACCCACGAGGAGGCATCGTGCTTGTCTCGCGCGACGTCGTGTTTGATGAGAAGGCGGCCTGAGACTAGAACAGTCCGGCGACAGGGGAAGCTGTCGTCTTTACCAGCACCTTCGTCGTCGAGCACTTGGTCATCCACGGTGGTGGAGATGCCGGAGAGGAGGTGTCGACCACTCCAGCAACAGAGCCGAGCAGTCTGGGAGGGGTGCCGAGACTCCAGGAGGGTGCCGAGCACTCTAGGAGTGATACCGAGAGGTCCTGCAGTGGTGTCGACCACTCCAGGACGGGTGCCGAACACTCCCGTAGCAGAGCCGATAAGTCTTGCAATGGTATCGACCACTCCAAGACTGGGGCTGAGCACTCCTGCAGTGGTGCCGAACACTTCAGGAGTGGTGACGAGTGATCTAGGAGTAGTGCCGAGCACTCCAGGTGCCGTGCAGACCACTCCGGCGGAACAGGGAACTCCATCGATGCCGATCAAGTTCGCCTCACCTCCAAGCAACGTCACTGAATTCGTGGATGCCTTCCACGACGGTGAGAATGTACGGTTCCGCAAGCTGGACGACATCTCAAAAAACACACATGGACACAAACAAAACTCCATTTCCAGACCATATGAGTAATCAACTACAGTCACTATTCTAACAAAAATGTAGTCAATAAAGCAATTCTTCTATATGTAAAAAACAAGTCCAGAAGTCAGAACTCACCCTTGGGGCTCTTGCTGTCCTCCATCTCATCCTGAACATACTCCCGACTTCTAAAAAACTTATAAATGTCCTCAAGGCTGCCAAGATCCATCCCCCTCCTCGGATTCCTCGGGGCCACACGCGTCCCAGGCTCTGGCGGTGGAGGTTCCTCCACCTCCTGCAGAAGAGCCATCTCCAGCGGCCCGCGGTATACATAAGCAATATGGTCACGCTCCGCGCTCAGCATCCCCTTGCGGTACGCGCGGAATTCATCAGGGGCGGCAACGGTCGGGGGCGCCCGCCGCTCGAGGCGGCTCCCGAATCGTAGCCTGTGAGCGATGCGGTGCTTCTCCTTCTTCGTCAGGTTGATCTCCTCCTCGGCATCCCTCCACCTCTCCGGCACCAGGCTCTCGCCCTCGTCGGCCTCCGCCCTCCGGCCGTTAGCCCGCGGCAGCGGAGACGAGGGGAGGTCCAGGTCCGGTTCCTCGAAAGCGTCGTCGTCGAACACGAGGCAATCCCCGACGACAACATCCTCGTCATCGCCAACGGCGGCGACAGCGAAGGCGGAGGAGATGACTGGCCTCGAGGGTAGGGATAGGACTATAGGTTTTGGGAGTTGATGGTTGAGGCTACGGGACGAGGTGGCGAATGGGTTTAGAATTTGGGTCGGGGAAGCGGAGGGGATGGGGAGGAGGCGGTGATGGTGGTGGAAGATGGAGGGCGGCGTCATGGCGTCGTCCCGCACCGGCGCGCCGTGCTCTGAGGCCGTGTGCGGCCGTGTGCTGCGTTGAGACTTGAGAGGAGGATTGGCCGGTGTAGCCGACCGTTCATGCCTGGGCCGTTTGTTCGGACCACGCAGTACGCACGCGTGTCTTTCTACATGGGCCAAGATTTAGCAGATTGGGGCCCAAAAAGGAGGTCTGGGCTAAGAGCGCACGAGTCCTCTCTAGAAAAGATCGAGGCGCTAAGGCGAATCCTTCTCTGGCGGCGATTTCGCCGGCTCCCATCTGCATCCGGGGGCAGTTTCTTAGGTTTGGATATGCTAGGGTTAGGTTTAGGTTGTCCAACGCCGGTGATGTGGTGCTGGATGTTCTACCTCTACTGCTTCGTCTCCGGTGGGCGACGGCGTGGATGTCGCGACATCCCCGGCGGTTTCCCTACCTGCGCGGGCGGCGACGGTATGAGGACTTTCTATCCCTTATGTGAGTTAGAATTGGGTGTATTCCTAGTGACGAATCCATCGGGAATCTTTTGCTCCCTCCATGGATCTTCTGGTGACGTCTGTGTTGGTGGTGGATGGTGTTTGGAGATGGTTGATGGGCATGTGGTGCTCGATGATGGTGCTTCATGCGGGGGGTTCAGCATCTACGATGTGTTTTTCGGTTTTTTCTTATGCGTCGGTTCTGGAATCTTCTGTGAGCTTCTCTTCGCCGGTTGTGCCCACAATGTCAATCGCGTCGCCGGACTTGAAATCACTGACATGGCTGCTACTGGAAGCTGGATGCTTGTTCTACCCATTTCGGGTTTGCTGTTTGTCGACTGGGGTTGGCCGGCGAGGCAATCGGTGTATGATCCCGGTGGAAATGAGGATAAACAACACGTCTTTGGCGTGCTATTGATGACCTTGTTAAAATTCGAAGACTCTTCGTCGATTCAGGTATTGGCCGTGAGCTTCGTCCTGGATGATCTTTACTGTAGGAGGTGGAGAAAATCCGGGCTGCGGCAACGATGGTCGGCGACGGCGATGGGCGGTGGATGGTCCTGCAAAGGATCTGCGTGTATTTTTTGTTTTATTCAGGGGTGCCCAGACAAGGAGTTGTCTGTAACAGTACTGTTTTAATAAAATCCAACCCTTTAAAAAAAAAAAAATCGAGGCATCTTTTATCTTTTTTTTTGCCAAAAAAGAAAAAACAGAACCTTGAGGGAGTATGCTATAGCAACGTGAGGCCAAAACCCGTCAGCCCACGGGTTCCTCACGCCGACCCTCCCTCCTCCCCCCCACACACACCCACACCCACGCGTCGTACGTACAATGGATGGAGCGACACTTTCCGCTGTTTGGGCCCAGGTATGTTAGTCGGCCTAGGTACGTCAGTCAGTTTTTCTTTTTTCGATTTCTTTTTTTCTTTTTGTTTTCTCTCTTTTTTGTTTTGTTCTATTATTCTTGTCATATTTTATTATTTTTTATTTTTCTTTCTTTTCATCTTTTATTCTTTTTTATTTTTCTTTCTTTTCTTCAATTTATTTTTCCTTTCCTTTCTTTCTTCATTTTTTTATGTTCTAGGATATTTTTTGTGATATTCGGTAGCATTTTTTGTTCTTTTTATTTGACTCTAATTAATTAGTTTGCACACTCGGCAAACATTGCACACTCGGCAAAAAATTGCTAGAAAAAACAGAAATTGGCCTCTTTGTCGAGTGTTAAAGCCAAAACACTCGGCAAATGACTTCTTTGTCGAGTGTTACACTCAGCAAACTGTCCAAAAACCCCCTGTTTTTACCGTTTTGTTACGTATAAAGGACACCTCTCCAACAAAAATCACAGGCATGTATATTACATCACAGGCATATATTAAGCATCATAGGCACACAAATAAGTTCTAGTTTATTCGAGAAAGTAATCCACAAGTTATAGTTTAAACAAGTAATGCACAAATAATCCACAAGTCACTGAGGAGGAGGCCTTTGGAACCACTACGACTGATCCGGGTCTTGTGGTTGAGTATTCGAAGCCGCCGATTGATTCTGCACATAGGAGAAGACATGTGTGAGACAATATTGATATCATTTGAGCTAACTAAAGAACTTGTCTAAGTTAAAGTATTCAATCTAATGTGTCAAGTGACTCACAGGAGTAGTTGTGGGTGGCTGACATGAAGGGAATAGCATCGGTGGCGGTGGCAAAGATTGACCCATGCTCGAAGCAAAATTCTGCATGTATTGAAACATTTGGTCCATCCTCATTCGATTTTCTTCCTCCATCCTCTGCCGCTCGGCCTCTAACTGTGGTAGAACCTCCTAAGAAATCAGGCCCACGTACATCTATCAATGTCTCAACAGATCTCTGATAGCGTACACAAGTTCCCAACAACTTAACAGGTCTGTCGGGTGTCCCCAGGAAACACGAATCATCCACGAATCTTTTCCAAACAGGATCCCAATCACAGACATTGCAGATTACAACAGTTTTCAATATACATACCAAAGATTTTAAAGCGGAAGACTTAAGTTTTTAATATTACAAACCAGTTGTTTCAAACTTACAAAACCATAAGTGTCATACAACCATAGTTGCGGGATAATATTACATTAACATTATTTATTTCACACAAATTAGTGCCTTGTCCAAAGGCCATTCATTATTCCTCATCGTCATCGACTTCAAACACTGACATGCAGCAGGGACCAAAACAAGCCTGCGCATGCGACTCACCTGCAACAAGGATTAACAAACCCTGAGTACAAAAGTACTCAACAAGACTGACCCGACGAAAAAGGGGTGAAGGACTTTAGAGATGTAGGGGTTGGGTCAAGGTAAGGATGTAGCAAGATTCAAAAGTTCTTTGCTAAAAGCTTACTATTCTTGATCTTATTTTCAAGTTTTATCCCTAAGTACTTTAGTTCATTATCTCAAACTAAGTGTTCATATCCCATGTTCCAATCTTTCTCATTCCATTCTTTTTCTCATGTTTTAGTAATTCACCAGTCCTGCGTTGCTTCTGTAATGAATCGAGTCTCTATATCCGCGGAGCACCGACAATTCGAATTGATTAAAGTCCCAGCTGGGGATTCCTTATCACACGACATATGTAGAATTTAATCTTGCATATATCAACCTTGCTACCGGATCCTCCTATACTAAGCCGTCTCCACGTCACCCGAGAGCACAGCACACCTCAAATCCGGGCACATTCCAGCCACGAGGGTACACGCTACTCCCGCCATCTCTCCACTCCCAGTGCGTGGGCATTCGTCTTAGTATCAGATTAGCCGAAGTAGGCTTACCGAAGTATGTGACCAGTACTACAAAGTGTCTCATTCAGAAGATCCATAATGAGTGGCCTTTAAGCGACATAGTCGACAACATTACCCAACATTCAAGATAAGTCACCCGACTAGTCTCTAGTTCATTCTATCTTCTTTCTTTCTTTGGCCAGTATGCCATCTTTGATTGTATCAAAACTTACTTTGAAAGCCTACCATAAAGCATACTAAGCAATTCTACGCCTTTGTAAATGAAATCATCTTCAAGGATGGTAAACAATTAATAAGGTAGGCAATGCATCAAGTAGGTAACATTTGAATTAAGCAACTTAATGCAATAAGTAACATAGGTGATAAACTTTTCAAAGTAAACAAGGTAATGGTTTAATGCATAAACCGGGGCTTGCCTTCGTTGACGATCTCGGATTCCAGATCAGTACCACAAATATCAAATCCTGAGATGACCGGGGATTCTTCCACAACTTGCTCAACTAGAATCGGTTCACTCTCGGATTCTACACGAAATAATAACATATGCTTCAACATGATGAATAATGTAAACATGATGCTTTCATGGTGCATGAAATGTAATAACACCTTGAATACAACTTTCCTTCACGATACAGTTGCAAACCAACAAAACCAATTGACACTAACATCTAGGGTTTCGACAAGTTAACTTACTAATGACCTTTGTTATCACATGAAATGTAATTAAGATTTACTAATTATAAGTTAGGTATGAGCTCAAATAACTAATTAAGGTGCCAAGGATCATCATATGTTACTGACCCAAGGTCAACAATCAATTCCAAAGTCAAACAAACCCTAAATGATTAAGCATTAACTAAGTAAATAATTAATTAAATAATTAAGCCTAAATTAGGTATAAAATCAACTTTGTTCAATTAAGCTCAAAATTTTATGCAAGCTTCCTTATGACAAATTAGTGTACCAAAAATAAATTTTATAATTTTTGGAGTTATACAGTGACCTACAAAAATTATGGAAATTATATTTATCAATTAATTTACTGAATTTTTAAACATTAAAAATTTATTCAAATTTCAAGTTTCATATTTTTAAACCATAATAGAACATGTACAGAAGCTACACATAAATTTTCAGAATTTTTAGAGTTGTAAATATTTTCCTATAAATTTCCAAAGTTGCTGCACTATTCAAAAACCAGAAAATACAAAACCTCACTGTTCTCTCTCTCTCACTGACGACCTGGCCCCGCTGTCAGCGACACAGAACAAGGCACACGGCGGCGTCTTCGGCTCTGGCCGGCCAAACTCGTCGGCGGCGAGGCTCCGGCGAGGCAGACCGCACCTGCATGACCTACACTACCCCGCGAATCTACCCCAGCCCTCAAAATAGCAGCAGGCTCACCGGAGGGAGCTCCACGGCGGCCATGGTGGCGCGGGCACGGCGGCGCACAGCACAACGCCGGCTACAGCGCGGTAGAGAGTAAAACGGAGAGAACATCACGCTCAGGAGCTCACCGCGAACACGACGGTAGACTCGGTGAAGGCGGAGACGGTCTGGAGCGGCTTGGCCATGGTGAGGTCGGTCGTGGCGGAGCTTTGGCCGGTCATGGGGAAGAACGCGTTGCGCCGGGCGATTTCGGCCAACCCAAGAGATGCGAGCAAGCCGAAGAGGAGCGCTAGGTCGAGGCGATTACACCGGCTTAGCTAGGCACGACGAGAAGGGGTCGACGGTGGCTACGGCGAGCGGCGGAGC